TCTAAAAAAAAAAAAAAAAACAGGCAAAACAACAACAACAAAAAAGCAGGCACTGCCAATTGCTCATGCTGTCAGTGGGTATTTTTAATAGAGCAGGAGCTGGCCTGCACCACATGTGCTTTGGAGAATCCCACCCCTGGGATCATAAAGCAGAGAAAATAAAGGGTAGGTCTGAGGCTGAGACAACAGCTTCATAACAAACAGTATGTGGTGGGGTGGGGGGGTGGGGGAATCCCATAAAGGAAAAGCTACAACAGAGTGTTATAAAAACAAAATCTAATCTTAAGGTTTCCTTTTTTGAAGGAAAAAAAATGAAAAGGGGGTAGCACCTGTGGCTCAAAAGAGTAGGGCGCTGGCCTAATATGCTGGAGGTGGCAGGCTCAAACCCAGCCCCGGACAAAAACTGCAAAAAAAAAAGTAAATAACCAATCTGAGATTGGAAACTTTTCTAATTACAAAGGTAGTACCAGTCATCGGTGAGAGGTAGCCTGGGATGGAAAGAACAGACATTGCTTCTCGTATCTTTTGATTTTCTATGACACTTGTCACTGTCACAGACTTCAGATATTTGTACTCTGTAATTCAGCTGCTAAATGTGTATTTACAGAGAGGCTACAAGCAAATTTCAACCTTCCCTGTGTTTTCCAAAGCTCATGTAATGAACATGGTTTGCCTTTTAAAATGAGTATTCCTTATTAGCCTTGAACCAAAGAAACCGTTTGTTCTTAATTCATCCTTCAGAATCTCAGAGTGACATGCGCAGGAACAGTCAGCAAGCGTTGTAAAAGAACCCTGACAGCAGCAAGTATGGGACAGGCCTTGTTGACCTCGCGCCTGCAGTTAATCATCTGATCAATCTGTAGCCATCAGAACAAAGTGCTGGTATTGGCTTCGGTCTCAGCGTGCTATTTTCCCTCGATGAGGCTGTTGTTGCAGGAAGAGCCCTAAGGTCCCAAGCACCAGACTAGCACTGGGTGATACATTTTGTCAGTCGAACATGGCATGGCAGCTCTGGCACTGAGTAGAATTTCCACAGGCTGAGTAGACAGCGTAGGCTGTTGGGAAGAACATATGACCGTGGGTATTCGCCAAGCATGCAGAAAAATACATGGGCTTAAAACATGTTAGCTTAGCAGGAAACCGGCAGGGAGGAACAAAAGAGGGCTTGTGTTTTATGGGTATTCGGGAAAGGGGGAAAGGCAAGTCAATGGCTGGGGTTGATCTAACTGGACGGTCTGAGGTACACCCTGTACAGTCCTGGAAATGGGGATGAGTTTTCAGTGTGCAGAACTGAGACGCTTTCCTTTTGTTTTTGCAGGTAAGAAGGGGTCACTATGGAATTCAAAGGACAGAACTCTTGCCTGGTGACCGGGACAATCTGGCCATTCAGACCCGGGGTGGCCCAGAAAAACATGAAGTAACTGGATGGGTGCTGGTGAGTACCAAGAGCTGGCGAGGAGTCCATTTTTAGCATCAGACACACACAGACCTGGCAGAGGTGTCCAAAGCCCTGCCCACCGGGAGCCACCTGCCCGTTCACATCTCTCTGGGGCTACTGCTCCTTTTTCAGAGAGAACCAAAGGAAGAGTTGAGGTTTACAGAGATGTTTTGAAAACAATCAGTGAATTAGTAGGAGCTAATTATTTTTCCTGAAGTGTTCAATGCAAAAATCTTCACAGAAAACTAAATGACCCAAGTGTCATTTTAATCAATTATTCTTTAATAATTACCTTATTCGTGAACAGTACTTAGATCACAGGCTCTATCGCGGTTTCCCTCCAACTTGTGTACACCCATCTGGTTAGTATCCTAGGCACGTGGCCAGGAGCTGCCCACGACAGTCCCTAGAGCACGACTCCTCTCAGAAGAGACTTGCAGGACTCCTGGCAGCACCTTTGCCACAAATCCTCTGATCATAGGACACTTACAAAATAATGACCTAACTGAAACCACTGAGACCACCACCACAAGGGACTAAAGGTCCTTTTTCTGTCACAGGTATCTCCTCTAAGTAAGGAAGATGCAGGAGAATACGAGTGCCACGCGTCCAATTCCCAAGGGCAGGCTTCAGCATCAGCAAGAATTACAGTGGTTGATGCTCTACATGAAATACCAGAGAAAAAAGGTATGTGATCGATCTCACAGCCACTTAAAAATGACAAGGGCTTTTGCTGCACAGAGAACAGAACCAAGAATGAAGGTATCACACATAGCTACCGTGCTTCCCAGAAAATAAGACCTACCCAAAAAATAAGCCCTAGCAGGATTTTTATGCATTTGTTAAATATAAGCCCTACCCCATAAGAAGACCTGGTGGTGGGCGTGGCTATGCAAATATCTGCATAACCACGCCCTGCATTTCAGCACTGAGCCATAAGGCACAGCTCCTTTCTCCCAGCCCTCCGCACTTGTGAGGTGCACTCGTGGCAACCAAGGCCGCAGGCATCCTACTTCGCATGTGC